CACAGGAACCCCAGCACCACCAGAACCAGCAGGAAGACAGTGATGACAACAGGTGGAATCCAGTAGTATCGGGAAGTGTCTGTCAAGAGAACAGATTGTTTGACAGTTAATCCATCAACCCCAAAAGACCCATGTTGCAGTAAGACTTATAGAAACTTGCCTTTGTTTTTAGCAGACGTGATTATTGTAACAGTGTCTTTACAGGCCTCTGTACAAAACCAGTCACATAACCACAGCATATTCAGAACCCTGCTGCCCGAGCCCGAGAATTGATTTCAAAATATTACCTAAATACCTAACCTAAAAAGCACCTACTAATCTGGGGCCAAAATGCATGTCTGATATGCTGCTCTGTGACAAGCCTTTCAGAGCTCTTTGATCATCTGGGACAGGTTTGCTCACCGTCCCCAGGGTCAGACACAAACATGCAGCAGCTTTCAGTTATCATCTACTGCAGATCTGGAATACACTTCCTGAATATCTGAGGTCCTTTGTTTGTTCAAATCAAAGCTTGAAATGTTTGTTGCTGCTGATTCTCCCAAGGTCATTTAAAGATGTTATATTGTTGTACTTCTATGATTCTTGTAGTTTTGTCTTGTCTTGTTTTTATGAATTGTCTTTTATTTGTTTTGTATGTTTGCGCTTATATAAAGCACTGAGTTGCCTTTGTGTAAGAAACGAGCAATATAAAAAAAACATGGACTGGATTGGATGAACAGGCAACGGTTTATTTTACCTCAATCAAATAATGTGATTAGGCATGTGTAGCTAGCATCATAACTGAAAACACACTGTGGCCGCTGCCGCGTGGTGTGTCAAGTAACACCCCTAGCTCACACAGGACGTGTCACACCGCAGCTCGTTAACAGACGACGACACAAAGTTATTACCACTTTAACTGAAATATCTGTACCCCTTCCACCTCTGCATTAGCTTGGAATCATGTGTGGGGAGCCCCTAATTAAACTTAACTTCTCACCTAAGGAGCTGATCCCCAGAAATATCACTCACCAGGCAATATATTTGGCCTTTGTCCTTATAATGACAGAATTATGGGTTTAGCTCGGGATATTTCTCGACCTTAACAACAACTCTCTCGTCACCCATTCTTTGGATGAGTTCACTTTATGCATCCATGGTGAGGGGCAGTTGTGCTGCCACAGGAGCAGAGAAGAAGAGCTGTTACAGGAGCTGGTATGAACAAGCAGAGAGTGAGTGGGGGAAGATGCATTTAATTCCAGGGGCGGCGAGGCTGCAAACTGGACAGTTGCGTAAAGTGCCACAGGGTAGTGCGTCTAGGAGTGCTGATGCGTGTCTAGCCACTGCCAGTGTGGGGTTGTTTTGGCCTTTACGCTAGCAGCAGAGGTAGTAACAGCTGTGAATTGGCATCTGTGTAAAAGGGACAACTGGCAGGATTGGACGTTTTGGCAACATCTTATACATGTGACTCACTGCCAGCAGCTGATAGCAGTTAGCTGCTAACTCAAAGACAAAGAACAGCAGCCAAATATTTCCACAAATTAGGGTCCAGAATGAGGTCCAGGAGCTCCTTCCCCCCCGAGCAGAGGCTGAGATCAGCCGCCATATAACAGGGACGGTAAATGATTGTTAATGCCATGTTATGCCATGTTGCCAATGCATATGTTACATGTTACACGAGAGGCCGGCACTGTTGTGTTATATGTCACACCTGTTACGCTTCTTTTGCTTCTGGAACGCCAGCATGCTGTCTAAAATCACACACTGTGGCAACATTATGCTGCCATTGTTTGGTTTTGTATAAAAAAAGCAAAGCCAATATAAGGAAGGGACGATGTTGTGGCCCTGTCGCGGGCTTCAGACAATTTTTTTTCTTTGTCTTTTCCCTACAGTCTCTCCTGTCACCTCTTTTCTCTGCATGTTTTGTGAAGCAGATTCATAAAGCTGTCAGGATGAGCCCAAAATGATCTCTTAAGTTAAAAAAACATCAACTCGTGCTGGCACGTCTTTGCTTCAGTTGCCTACAACTCAAAGAATTTCCCTCTAAGCACGCCCACTCACATCTCTTCATTGTCTTGGTTTGAATCATGCCATGTCTAAAATAACCGTGTGCTCTGGCTGAACACACCTTAACACTGCTCTATTAACAACAAAAGCAATAAATCTGGGAAGTAAAACGGGCTTAGTCACTTTACAGTGATTCACAGATTAGTAGTGTAACAGTTTATCGGCAAATTGATGACAAAGTCACAAAACATCATCCACGTGTTCTCTTAACCCGCTGGTGCCTTGATAAAGACATTACACTGAAACTGTAATTAAGCACTACCCAACACCAAACAAAAACATTCTTTGCTATTGGACATGCACCTGCATGCTGGGTCTACCCAACAACATGTGTTTGATATGGGCCATTTACTGTGCTTATGCACAGTAGTCTGAGTTTGTGTTTAGGTATTTATACATGTTATTGTTTTTTATTGTTATGCCATTTTGTGGCTTATGCTTGATGTTTTTTAAGGCCCTTCTTTAGGGATATATTTTTTTCTAAAGCAAATACAATAATGCTAATATTATGACCCATATTAGAGTGGTGCAGGAATGAGTCTTAAAACATGGAAATGAGTAAGCATTTAAAACCACTTGCGGTTCCCTTGTCTTGAATTGAACGGGTTCTTGGTTACATGCCTGAAATAAGGTCAGTGGTTCACACACGCTTAAGAGACTTTCATGTTTTGTTCTACGACATAAGGCCCATCAGTAAATACCACATTCATTAAACGGTTGCTCTCAAGTGGCTAAATGAGACTACAACACGGCTTTAGAAGAAGAAAGAAGAATGATACTTTATTAATCCTTGTGGAAATTACTTTGTCACAGCAGCAGTGTATCCCTCGGGCACACAAGACAATAATGCCATTGAAGTCATGTGACTGTGGAGGTTGCAATTACGCTTCAAAAATCCTACAATGGGTTTTCATTTGTGAAGATTATCTTGCTGAAAAAAAAATGTATGTATCATACACTTTTGTTTGAGCTTATCTTCTAAAATAATCCAAAGTCCAGTGGAAAAATCCTATTGGCTTGTTGACGAGGGAACCAGGGCGAATTTCATGTTAATTAAATATCATCCTGCAGCATTTTATGATGTCATCCTTAATTTTATTGCGTTGTTGTTAATTTTTTTGCACTGTTCACAACCTGCAATGCAGCTTGAAATATAGAAAAGTGTGATTCCTATATATAAAAAAGCTTAAGCACAAGAAAAAATGCTCATTTTTAAAATGTGACTTTGTTACAGTGACAAGAGTAAATATTATTCCTCAGTTTCACCCCTGCTTGTATTTATGAATAGAAAGAATGAATGAAAATGCTTTGAGAAAAACATCTTTGACATTGCAGTACTCATTTCACAACCCCAGTCACACTAAGTCAACAGGAAATAGTGACACATATGCGTACTGTAACCTTACAATAACTGCGTCTCATGTTTTGACTGCCAAGTAAAAAAGCAAAGTGAGAGACTGAGCAGACGGTGATTTCATTCACACTTCTACTGGCTCAATATTTGTCTAGTTTCTGTATCTTATCTGAATCTGTTTTTTAATCTGTTCTGGGATGTAACCCACATCTGATACAAATATAAACAACAATCTCATTTACCTGGATTTGGTTCGTCACTACCTCCTCCATTCAGAAGCTTAGCATCTTCAGTGCAGTTGGCTGTAAAATGAACATTTTGTTGGGAACATCAAGTAAATAAAAATAAAGATTTCACTTTTAAATTTTACGTCAGTGGAATAACCATGATCTAAAATACTCATATATTAAGTTAGGTCAGACAGTTAATGATACTCACTCCAGCAGGTCCCTGTGTGCTGCCTCTTCTAAACAGAAAGAATTGATTTTCAGTCAGTCATTGTTATACAATGCGCTAATGTGCACTGTCAATATATGGCACCAGTATGAGAGGGGAATTCTTAAATCTTCTCATCACACATAATCAGTATTATTAGGACTGGAACACTTAAACCAACACAAATCAGAGTATTTAACTTAACTTTAAAAACTCTGCGTAATATCTTTCATGTGTATAGTTCATATGTTTTACATGTCAACAGTGTCATACCTCAGAGATGCAGTCACGTGTATAGATGACCACAGTTAGGCACCGTGAGGTAGCAAGAGTCCGGTCACTTTTCATCTCCACCAGCTTATCCACACCCTCCTCTTGGTTTGCCAGGACGTAGTGCTAAAGCCAACATATGGAAGACAATAAAACCATAACAGCTTTCACCTGTGCTCTTCCTGCTATGACAAGCAAACGTGTCTGCCAGGAGAAAGGTGTGTGCAGGAGTTTTACCCTGGGGTTGTTTTAATCACAGAGTACCTGTGTCATGTCACAGAAAGTTTTGAAAACACTGAATTAAAATGAGCAATAGTGGCTTGTCTAACTTACACTGCTGTTGGCCCACGAATAGAGACAGTCGGTGGCATTGAAGTCAGGGATGCTGTAACATGTCAGTCTACCATCTTGGATGACGGAGCAGGGAATGTCCTGAGCAGTGGAAAGCTTTAGCAAAACTGTGAAGAACAAAAAAGACAAATGCATTACCAGACACACAATCTTGCCTTACAGTTTATTCTAGATACATACTGGATTAACATGGTAACCTTGTTTTGGCTGAAACCAGGTAAGCATTATAAAGGAATACTTCACCCCACCAGTTGATCATTTTTATATCAGTTCCTGTGTGAGGTTGAATTCATAAAGAAAATGTTGTCTTGCATGTCTCCACTGCGAACGAAGAATCCAAAGGCAGAGCAAATTCTTGATGTATTGAAGTAAACAGCAAAAAACTGCTTCAAACAATCCGTTCACAATCTCTCACACAACTTGTGCAGTATAAACCAAGCCTCATTTACAATACATAGCTGTATCTTGCTGCCGCCCTTCTGACTAAGACTGAAAGTGAAATTGTAGAAATGTTTTACTTTCAGTCCCAGTCAGAAAGGGCTGACAAGGGCAACATGTTTTGGAATAGTGAGCAAACTACTAGATAAATGAGATATAATGAAAGTTTTGGTGTTGTTAAACATGTTGATGATGATGTCAATTCATCAACGATTTTCTCTGTTTTTGGATTCTTTGTTCACCGTGGAGGTATGAGAGAAAAACAAAGTTTTCTTCATGAATTCAACATCACACAGGGTGAGTAACTGATTAGTAAAGTATTTCTTTAATCCCAGTATGTCACTGCGGCTGCCATGCCTAACTTACAAGTATCTGGTAACAGGGTGTTGAAATGTTAAAATGGACTTGCACTTGTACAGCACTTTTCTTGTCCTCCAAACAGGCAAAGTGCTTTTTACACTACACACATTCATACACTGGTGGCCAAGGCTACAAGGTGCCACCCGCTACTCAGTTTTTATCATACTTGGAGTTCAGTATCTTGCTCAAGGATACTTTGGCATGTGGACTGGAGGAGCTGGGACTCGAACTTCTGATCTTCTGATTAGTGCACGACCTGCTATAATGAGCCACAGCTGCCCAGTCACTCATTCAGTCATCAGGGGGTTCAGTATCAGAAAGCAACCAGTACTACGATCGTGTGTAAGTTATTTCATTATAATTTAATTAGACCTAACTTTACTTAGTTATCTGTCCCCTGTAAGCACAATATTAACTAAAACCAGTCAAGCTGCAGTTACAGTTTACATCCATGCCTGTGAAAACATGGATGCTTCACACACATCCCCAACCCAGCAGCACAGAAGTTCTATACAATCAGCACAGTTTCAAGGAGGACACCCAAGATTAGCGTCACCAATTCAGTATCTGATCAAATGTTTCCCCTTCTGTTCCTGAGATGCGGTGTTGAGTAATGGCCCGCAAAGAGTTTTCAAAGAGATAATGATGTCACTGTGAAATTGACTTTTGACCATTTAGATAAAAAAATGTAATGTCATCATTTTATCCTGTTAGACATTTGTGTGAAATTTTGTCATAATAAGTGTATGATTTCAGTAGTTATGACTAAAACATGTTTTGTGAGGTCACAGTGACCTGACCTTTGACATCCAACCACAAAATTCTGATCAGTTCATTCTTGAGTCCAAGTGGACATTTGTGCCAAATTTGAGAGAACTCCCTCAAGGCCTTCTTGAGATACTGCATTCAAGAAAATAAGATGACCTTTGTCCACCAAATTCTAATCAGTTCATTGTTGTCAAGTCTAAGTGGACATTTGTGTCAGATTCTCCCCAGGTGTTTGTGAGATATTGTGTTCACAAGAATGAGATGGATACAAGGTCACAGTGACCTTGACCTTTGACCACCAAAATCTAATCAGTTCATCCTTGAGTCTAAAGGTGCTCTCAGACCTAGAGTTTTCTTGCTTTGGTCTGAATCAGGGACTTATTTTGTCACAAAGTTGTATAATTGCCTAGAGTTGGTTCATGTTCTCACGGCAGCATTTACAAGCGGACCAGATAAAATGCCTTGTGTGAGAAAACTGCTCTTGATTGGTCAGAATTTCCATGCGGGAAAAATCCAAGAAGTAAACAAAACGTTAAAGAAGAGTACCCTTGCAAGATAAATGTGACACTTTTTAATGTCACAATGGAGGGACAACTACGCAGGTTGATTTTAGCGCTGCTCATCGTGGACTATATTGCTGTCATTGTTCATTTTAGTTAAACCATACAGTTTGAAAACGAGGCGCGGCTCCTACTAGAAAACAATGTTTTGATGCATTGGATGTGCTGAATGTGCATATTAAGGCAGTACAGGAGGAGGTGCACATTAATAATCCTCCAGGACTGTAACATGCTTATGTTTAACCCAAACAATGTGTCATGTGACTGCAGCTGGTTCAGATCCAGGTCGGAACACGTTCTCACCACAAACAAACCACACCAGAGTTTGTTTGTAACTGAACCGCAAACAAACAAACCGCACTTAGGGGGCAAACAAACTTGAGTTTGACTGAACTGAACCAAACAGGGCAGTGGATGTTTGTGCTACATTTAAAGAAATTCCCTCAAGGCTTTATATGGACAGCCTGAAAACATAATGCCTATACAGCTGCACCTATCGCCAGAGGCATAGTAAGAAGTGGTAAAACCATACATATGTTAAGACCCTGTACAAGCCAGGACCACAGTGTTAAATATTGCTGACTTGTAGTTAACGGTTGTACATAGACCGCGGAACCGGGGGGGGGGGGGGGGGGGGNATGTCCTCCAAGATAATATTTGCCACTTTGTTTGCAGTAAAAAAAAAATTTGGGCCCGGGGGGGGGGGGGGATTGGGGGTAACTTTTGTACTCTGACATAGAGGGCTGTATTGGGATTGGGTCCCGCCGGGTCCCACATGCACGAGCGTTTCCACTCCATATTTATTCATAAATGGACGAATATGCCCTGAACCAGCCTTCATACCAATATGCCGCTTGCCCCACCTGTCTGTCTGTCTGTCTGTCTGTCTGTCAGTCAGCTCCATCTGTCATGAGACAAACATGAAAGAAGACGTGCAATTCATTGTGTTTCACCGGCGACGAGCTGTCATTACGTGCGACTATTACGCACGTCTGCGCGCTCTTTATAACTCACTGTGTGAACCTATGTTGCATAATAAAGATTTGCTCCCTCATAATTTTTAACCGCCCCCTCAGTAACTTCATCCTGGCGTCGGGCTTGCCTTAACCTCAATCACTGCGTGATTATATAAACGTATAAAATTAAATAAAATACAGAGGAGGAGAATAGAATATGAAACAGCCTTTATTTAATTAAAAACTAAATGAAAACAACGAAAGTGCGTCAAAAGACGTGCAGACCAGGGGAACGAAACAAACAACCCCATGAATCTCTTTATTAATAGCCTATAAAATGACGTGTTTTCTCCTGCGGGACGGTGTGCGGCTCTGCACATTAGTCTGATATGAGTGCTGACTTGTGATGATAATGAACATGGTGTTGATTTAGATTCAAGGCAGCAAGATGAGTTTTGGTTGTGGTTGTGGACTGGATGTACTTTGTTGTTTGCTATAGTTTCATCTGTGCGTTTATGTGTAAATAGGCTTGGCCTGTTGTGTGTGAATGTTAGAGTGGGATCAGAGGGGTTAATCTGAGCAAGCATGTGTTCGTGTTCATGCGTGTACTGTAGATGTGACTGTGTGGCGTCGGAATAAAAAAAGTGCTCCGCAACGTTATTTAATACATCAGTAATATTGTCTGTTTCAGTGCATATGCCCCCCCACCCCCTCCGCGTGACTTGAAATTGATGACAGCGCAGTGTCATCAGTTATGGTCTCTCCCACTGCTAGAGCCAATCGGTGAAAGAGTACAGACGCACCCTCCGCATGTTTCGGTATTTCCCAGCTGATAGACCGCCCCTACTGCTCATGTGATGGCCCCAATCCACATGCACTAGCACACGAGGAAACGTCGCCTAGCAGCAGCAGCAGCCCGATGATGAAACATTTCCACATACTCCATCAAATAACCCGCACTGTCCGCAATGTTTGGAAACAGGTGTCGAGGAAATCCGTAGCGTGGTTTGCAGTAACAACATGGCTCAGCAATAAAAACATCCAGATTTATAATGACTTATTCTACGATCATGAATAAATCTATTGCTGACGAATACCGATAAAGTTGAGCTTTCCTTATCCTCTATCCTGAGGACAATATGGTCTGTGTGTGAAGAATGTATAATTACATAAAGTAACTTCTCGTTATAAATGCTCAAAACGTGTGTCAGCTATAAACCCTCGCTCTGATGGAATAAAAAAAAAACTTGTGTTGGTTCTGTGTGATGATCAGGTTATGATTCACTGGCGATGATGCAATACACCACATACAGCAAATCCTGCGAGTCAATGAAACAGACAAACTCTTAGACTTTAGTTATTCAGCAATAAATTATAATACTTACCGGCAAAAATCGGCACGTAAAACACATGTGGCAGCATCCTCTTTGTTCCGCGCGCGTGCACCATACCTCTCTAACAGACAAGAGCTCGTGACTCTCGGCGAGCCTCAGCGCATGTGAGCTCTCTCCTCTCTTTCCTCACTGATTCGCCTTCAGCATCAAGTGCCGCCTCTCCTCTCGCTGACTCTCTCTCCACTCTCGGTAAATCTGATGGATTTCCCCGACAACAACACTCCCCGGCTGGCACGCTGAGCGCTCACTGTCCGTCTAATTTAGTTGGCTGAAATCACATCACACCACCAGTCTCTCAACGGGGGCAGGGAGGTGCGTCGCTCTTACCTCCCTCTGTCTCTTCCCTCTCTCCACCATGTATTCTCTGATGCAATTTAGGCTGTCACACCTCCACCTACCGGCAACACACCACACCAGTTTTAGCCTCTTTACAATGGCTCCTGTTTGTTTCAGGATTGACTTTAAACTCTTATTAATTACTTTTAAGTTCATAGCTCAAGATTATAATTCAGACCTGTTAGTCCCTTATGACCCTCTGCGTTGTTTGAGACTTTGAGACATAGTTCGAGGATATAACGTCTGTGTGAGTCTTCTTTATTTTACCTTTTACTTATTTGTTTTAGTGTTTTAAAAGAGTTACGTTTTAATGTGCAGCACTTTGTAGGTAACTGTGTTTTAAAAGGTGCCATATAAATTAAGTTTGATATTATAATTATTTACAAGATAATATAACATTTCAAATGGATCAACAGCTGTGTGTCTACTGTCTATTCCTACCCCCCCCCCAAAAAAAAACACCTTATTTATATATTTATACGTGATAAATAAATGAATAAATAAATGAATAAACCCTATTATATAGAAATAAAAAATGAGCAGCTGTATGTACAGTTCTGCTTGTAATTTCACACACCCTGGCAGGATTTCTGATATGTGCACCATTCTTTAAAGAAAACATGAGTGATCAGGCAAAAGACTTCTTGTATATATATGTAATGAGATTCATATTAAATTATCAGGCATCACAGAATAGCACGGTGATTAAACAAAACATTGCAATTATTAAATACTGAGATGGTCTCAAGTTAAAAGTTTGCATGCCATTAATAGTATGTATTTACCCTTTTGGCATCAGTTTGCAGTCTGTTGTGATAGTTGTTCTTGCCAAAAAGCCTCCAGCTCTTTGATAAGTTTGCATTTTGGAGGACGGACATCTCTGAGGCCGACAGGAGTCATAGAGGTGTCAGACTTGGAGTGGA